CGCGTACCATTGTCGCATCTTCTCCAAGGTCGATTGGGCGCATTTTGCTAGTGGCTGAGACACTGGATATTGCCATGCGGTCATGTTGGCACGCGTTTGTTCCTTTGACTGGGCGATGTGGTCGATGGTTTTGTGGCGAGGGCGATGCAGAGCTGTGCTGTGTGTGGTACAGGTTCTGTGTGCAGGCGCTGTACTGTGGCAGGTCAGGTGCCATAACGACACGCGTTCTGGTAGTGCACGGATTGTGCCCCGGGCCACGTTTGCACCTGCGATAATCCCGCACTTGGCGAAATTAGCAGAGGCACGTCTTTTGATGCGCCTGCGGCCACCACTACCGCTGCGCAGTTTCAGGGCCGCTACGCGTGCACGGCTACGCACACTAAAGCTGCGCGCCCCTGTTATTTTACACTGTCTGGCTAACATAGTTTAACTATTGGCTTGGGGCAACAGAAAGTGGGAAAGCAACTTAGGAAGACTGCTATAATTTCTTATGTACTGTCCCGTGTAAGAGCAGCAGGCTGTGTGGTTTAGGTCTAGCGTTGCTTACGTGGGCTACTATTACAACCTAGGTAGCGGTGTGATGCGTACATGATATTCACCATCACATGCAGATGTCTCCTGGTCATTCCCACCTATCGCCGGCAAGTCTATGGGTGCCTATACTCGTACAGTCTCGTCCTGCTAGATAGTCGCTGTTGCATCGCTCTGTTGTTGGGAAAGGACAAACACTAGGGAGGAAAGCCTATGGACGGGAACCCTTCATTATTACAAGATTTGTGGAGCGACAACGCTGGTAAGGTACCTTGGACCGAATTAAGAGGCATGAGAGGTCACTGTGCACCTTGCCTTCTCACCATGTTTCGCCAGCTTGAGCAGCAGCACACACGCTTTTAGCTGCAATCACAATACTACTGCCTGCTCCCTCTTTCAGTCTCTCAATCCTTTCACACTATCATGTAACATCTGCATTCACCAGAATACCCTTCTTTTACGCTGAGGACCAGCAGCGTATGCATTGCGCCTATCCTGAGTTCTTCAACCAAGCCCGAAGGCGAGTATAAAGCGTTTCTTTCGCTCACGTACTGACATTGCTAGGAAGAAACTGCTCTTTGCCCAGTGTTCCAGAGAAAGTCATACCAGAAGTGGTCATCTATGTGCACCTTCATTGCGCGAGGGTATCGATTCCCCAGAGCTCGTCACGAGAGAAGACAAGTCTAAACACGGCGATGCAAGGGCGCAGAGGAGCTCAGCGTCTCTTGCATGTAGAAATAGCTTCCTCCGCTCAGCGGGACCGCCGAAGCCTAGACAGCATAGTAGACGACCTGTTCCTGACCAATCTGATTGCTAACTTCGCTCAGATACGAAAGGCCAGCCTGCTTCAGGTGTGCAACAGCATGCCGGAAGGGCACAGAACCTATATACCAAGCTTCTCACTATCCAGACGGAGTGGCAAGACAAACACACGTCGGACTTTGACACGATTCTACATGGTTGCAGCATTCAGGTGTGGGATACGCCGTCTCTCATGGCGCAGCAATTGACGAGCAGTAATTCCTGATTCATGATCTCTGCAGGAAAGAAGCTGACGCCAATAAGTTGTCTGAACTCAACCGTCGAGAGAATGTAAGACAGCTCTGGACGTGGCCCATTGATCGAGCGAATCTCAATCAGCCCCTCCGTAGAGACCCCGTGTTCAAATTCACAGATACTACCCATGCTGTGCAGTACAGCAGTGTCGTCAGAAAGGCTCATGTTGACCACACCTATCACGCCGGGAATAGTGAATACATCGCTGGAAACGCGCACGCCGAGGGTACAAACAATGTCGATAACAATGATGAAACTACTGGAGACATTCACCTTGAGTTTCCGAACAGCGTCGAAGGCAATCAGGTACCAGCAAACTTTATTTAGCGGCGGCGGGAGCAGACTGTATAAAGAACTGCCCGCTAAGTAGTAGCCATAAACTTACAACTCATCTCAATTACAACCCCGCAAAGTTGCTGACATTGAATCGCCTACCGCACCTGAAGACCTTTCCACACAATGGTTCGCATTACAATCAACAGGACCGGGGGAAACACCACCATCGGCTTCAGCGAGCTCGACGACACCAGCGGCGTCTATATAGAAGGCATGCCTTGCACCTGCGCACATGCGACATCGCATCACGAATCGGGTAACTTCGGTGCCGGTCATGTGGGTACTACTGGTGGACCCGGATTACCTGGAGGAGCCAGATCTGAAGACGGCACCCAAACTACCACCGATCGTTACACGGGCACACAAAGCAACTTGGGAAGGCAAGAGTCTAATCTTGCTACTCAACAACCTCTTCCGTCGACGACTGGAATAACTCCACCCGTATCCGACTGCCCCTTTCAAGAGTCCGCAGACCTGTTAATGACTAGACTTGATCGCCTAGAACTATTGATCGAGTCGACAGAACGATCGAGAACTAGACACCCAGCACAGGGTCTGTTGTCTTCTCGATCTCTCGCAAGTGCGCCTGTTCCGTTTAGTCAGGAGACACTACATCAACAACGCCAAGATCGTCTCGATCGGGGTCCAAATATTGTTGACATGCACGATAACGACTTTCACCATAACGTAACTCGTCCTCTTGCCCTTAACGACAACGAGTCCCACGAGCCGCCAGAGCAATACCCGGAACAAAATCCAGGACAGTTCCTAGCGCAGTCCATGAAGAGCGGCATAGACCGGCCGCTTCAACCCGATGCGCAAAAAGATCCAGATCCGTACACGATGACCGGCGCAGACGGGCCACTTCAACCTGATGCGGAAAGAGAAGATACGTACGAAATGACCGGCGCAGACGGGCCACTTCAACCCGATGCGCAAAGAGACCCAGATCCATACATGGAGAGCAGGATGGACAGGCCGCTTGGGCACGATAGACAAGATGCTCGAGCTCAGTCCATGCGGAGCGAGTCCTATAGGCCTCTAGATTCTCCTCCTGACAATCTCGAGCCCGAATTCGACCCTGTACGAATATGCCTACTTGGCATCACGTATTTGGTTTACATCATCGCTGTAGTCGTTGTCGTCTTTGTCGCAGCAGACTGGCTCTTTCCAGTCGACGAGCTCCCCCTTATTTAAGTCAACGATTTCACAGTTATAACAGTTTTCAATGGCAATCAAGCCATTCCACGGAAGCACTCTCAGTGAATTGATAGAGCACAGCACAGTTCTAGATCTTGTTATAATCTACGTAGTAACAATGTATTTATCTCGAAAGAGTCTAAGTAGTATGCTGTACGAGAGATCTGGGACAAAAGACGCAGACTACTTGAGCTCAACTGCGCTAAACGTGACTGAGGAAAGTGTTAGGTGAATCCTTATTGCCTTACGTGTGAAATCCAGGTGATCTAAGATGCCCTTCCACTCAAGTGCATAACTGTACTCAATACCAGGGCTGTAACAACCTGGCAGATCGGATTGTCGATGTCGGCAATTGTGCTTGTCGCAGTAGTCCACTCGACCGTCAAGCCCGTACCTTGCTAGTTTGTTGTTTCTCACAGCTCGAGGCAGGATAGGAATAATGTTCATGGTTGGCGCTGGTCAGGTTATTCCTCGACGTATGCCGCCGATGTGAAGCCCAGGAGACCTCTGACACTGTCGCTGTCGGCCTGGACAGGCACGTTGAAGGTGAGCGCGTTAGTCACGAACTGCCACACCACTATTGGAAGCAAGTCGAGCAGAAGCAGTGACCAACAGTTATCCTGCCAGAGTGTGATGAGTAGCAGGCGGCGATTATGACTTGGATGATCTAAGCTTGATGAATACAATTGTAACCGTCAAAAGCTACCGCGACCGCAAGACTGATGTCCAAGTGCGTGTTGTGGAAGGTGGGGAGAAGTAACCTGAAGTAAAACTGGGCGGAGGAAAGGTGAAGAGATCGACGGTGAGCAATCCATAGCCGTGTGACATGATTGCGGTGTTGCTGGGTGGCACGACAGCAACCACGTCCGTACCCGCATGACAATGGCCCCAGCGGGCAAACGACATGTTTCCAAGGCTCTCCCACTTCTGGCCGTAAACTTCAACCCGTTCCATCTGAATCACAGTATTTTTCCAAGCGTGCCCATCGAGCAGCATTACACCACGAATGTGCGATTCCCACAGGCCCGGGGAAGAAGAAAGCACTGCAGTGAGTCTACGACAAGCCCGCAAGCCGAACAAATCTTTGCTTTAAATCTTGCGCGACATGAAAAACTATCTTGACGATATCGAAGAATGCATCACACAAGCCCAGCATTGGACGATGGTAGAAAGCATCGGGGAAAGGGGGAAAAGGAGGGCCTAATTGCTCCGCAACCGCATAGTCGCACATAGATACGCACGTAAGATATTGACGCCGACTACGAGGAAAGAGTCGAGAGCTATGATCAGCGACTATCGCGACCTTGCACTGATAAAAAAGGATGTTGTGGATATATAGTGTTTTACAGAAGAAATGCCCAATCTTGTGGACGCACTCGGTAGGCCGACGGAGCCGTTGCTGAGCCTAACACTTAGATTACTGAAGTCGGCGCAAGATTGGGAAGCGTCGAAAGAAAGGATGGTACGTAGCCCATGGACTGGTTCGTCACGAGTGAGTGTAGGGGTGCTATATCGAGCATGCATGGAGGTTTGACGCCAGTACCAAATCAGCGTGGCGCAGTCTCGCTTCCACTAGTGCGTCATCGCCCGACGTCGACGGGTCGCGACACGCGCGTGAAGGCCAGGCGCAGCACGAGACCATGGAGCTCTGTGGCCCTAGCTGCTCTTCCTCCCATTGCTTCATACATGCTCGACATGCCTTCTCGTCACCTCCAAGGCCGGATGCAGCAGCCCAGGCCGCCGCGACAACGGCGCCGGCAACGTGCATGCTGCTGCATGTCTCGGCCTGCGCAGCGCTTCTCAGGCGGGCCCCGCTGTATGTAGAGCCTCCCAGACAGCTCGCTCTTCGCCGTTCAGGCTGTCCATCGCCCATCGCGATGACCGACCAAGACAGCAACGCGCCCCGGGGCCTACCTTCTGTCGAGCTCCGGGACGTCTTTGCCGAGAGGCGGACGTGGCAAGTCTCGTTTGACCCAAAGCGAGACTATTTCGCGTATGCCGACGACGGACAGGTATGTGCTTGTACGGCCATAGGAACGTGACCGTTAACCAAAGCAGATCGCAGAGGCGATTACGCGTATAGATGACCTCCTCCGAACCCAAGAGCGCTTGACTGCGCATCGAGCCTTCGAACAACATCCGCAGCCGCCTGCACCGAGTTTCCCGACGACCCAACATGACCGCGCACAGCAGCCTTTGGAAGAGGTCCAGGAACCTTCGCTCTCCCGACCCAGCCGATCGCAACGAGGTCTCCTACGATCCCCCAACATCATGAATTACAGCCTCCGGGATAGGTTCAAAACCCAACAGGATCACGAACAACAGTCTCTGGGTGAGGGCCAGCAAGCCTTCCGTCCAGAGCACCAGGCCCCTGCATTAAACGCCCTGACGCTGGACCACAACCTCGGCGCAGAGGACAGATACGAGGAACCTGATCTCCCGAAAGAGACAGCCAAAACGATACAAGCGCGCTACGATGGGCTGAAGGAACCCCGATGTTCTGTCGCGCATTGGGGCATCTGGCGCCAGACGAACCCTACGCCGCATAAGCGCTTTGTCCCTGATCTCCGTACCCACAAGGTCACGCTAGATGACAAGTCCTTTCAACTCAACCGCTTATTCTCCCACGACGCCACACCGGGCGACATCTTCGCCAAGCTAGAGCCATAGGTTCTCCATCTCTCTTCCAAGCTAGCAGAGCGCAAGTACCACTGCCTTGTTCTTCTTACCTTTAAATTCTCTAGTATAGGCAAAACGCGGGTAATAACGGGCGACGCTACAGGTAGCCCGTTCACCTTAAACACGTCTGTGATCGGCTGCACATCCCAACTTCTCTTCGAGCGCAAGCCACCAGAGGATAGTGTTGTAAGACGATCAATAGAGATACGTCCAAGCAAGATCAAGCAGATTAAAGTTAATACTCTCAAGAAAGGTCGAGCAACGGTAGCAAAGCGTCGTGACAAGTGGAAGGGAAGTAGATTTCACCAGGCATTATCACACACTAAACTCGAGACTCACGAGGCTGCCATAGACTTCGTACATCGATGCGTTAAAGCCCGCCGATGCAGAACGACCCCACGCAACCTTCCCAGCTCGTCACGTTCGCATCGGTTTATCTACTTCGACTTTGTTGCCATGGGCGAGAATAGGGAGCTACTTCTAGACGATATTGATGATCCTTGTGATGCCATCGTATTTAGCGATCTTGCCGGTTATGAAATAGGTGAAGTCGAAACAGCCGACATCAACGCGGGACTTGGCGGCAATACTAATACAATGCCGCTATGCTTGCTCACACCCGTTTCCCACGTTTGTCTTTGCGTCGATCTATTGACTTCCGCTCTTTGTCGCGCTCTCTCCGTTGTAAGATGCGTACGCAGCTGGCTGCCTGCACACTAGTCTTTTCCTCCGTCGCCGCGAACATGAGCAGCTTCTGTTGATGTCTTCACACATCTTCGCACCATTCGCTCGCTAGGCCAGTACATACACTCTTGTCGTAACCCTTGCTGGCCTCTTCGCAGCCAACACTGCACTTGCAGCATCAGTCCATCATCTCTAGCTCTGCCGTCCGATCATCTTCACGATATCGATTGAGTCTGGGGTGGTCTTCTAAGTATTCCATCACGCCAACCCATTCCAGTTCATTGCGCGCTTCCATCGCGCTCCGCGCTTGCAATCCACAACCCCGAAATCAACTCTCATCTTGATCCTGCTTGCATTGTCCTCACCTACACAACCCACCGCGCTAAACGCAGACTCCGGCCTGAACCTCGACAAAAGGTATCTTCATGTCTCTCCGATTCTCCAAGGTGCTCAGTATCATCATTACGATCATTATCGCATTCATCGCGCTACTCCTCGCAAGATTCATCGCAACGCATCGTCTGTTCCTATGGTTAGCTCCTTCCAAGTGGCTGGCGGAGCGATTATCTCGTCGGCCAGACTACTTTCAAGACCCCTGGCAATACGCTACAGCGCTATCGGGAGCAACGTTCAACTTACATGGGCTTGCATGATGGTGGCAACGTACTACTCTTCACTAAACTGGTGGCTCTTGGTTAGCATTGTCATTGATATATCGGTATTCGTGGGGGCGTCGATGTACTTTTTCGGCCCAGATCAACTTTGTGGGCTGGCCCACGGCGAGCAAGAGGCAGCCAACAGCAATACGCTCCCCCCAATGATAATGCGGAAGACGGTGCGAAGTAGATGCTGAAGAAGAGTTCATAGATTCTCATGGGGTCGACGCTAATCATTAGCCGCCATCGTGAACAAGACCCTCAGTCTCCTGCCACTTATCAAGAAGCTCGCCGAAAATGTAGAGCATCTTCTGTCCCTTCCGAGACACGTGCGCTAATTCAATCATAACCGCGTAAGGGATCTCTACCCGGACAACCCACGGCCGAAGAGCCGCCAGAGCTTCGCGAAGGACGTGTGCTCTTGCTGCCGTGTCTCGCAATGTATGCACTCCTTATCGGTACAACCCTCTTTGTCTTCGGCGCCTGAGTATCATACCTTTGATCGGGGCAGCATCGAGCAGTCCGCGCGGCGATATTCATGCCTACTATGCGCATCCGAACACCTAGGTGGGTGCTTCCCGGGAATGTTACTCCTATCAACACGTCCGTATTCAACGGGACGCACACCAGGACGCCGCGCACCCTGCCAGTGCGAGCTCCGAAGCGACGAGAAGATTACCTGTTCCATTAATGGCTTCAATCGGCGGGAAGAGCGTGGTATGCGAAGTAGTGAGCATCTCTGAACTTGGCTTTCCGTCTTTCATTGGGTAGCTTTCGTAAGAGAGCAATATGGAATTGGGGGTCGTTTGTAGTTGGTAAATGGCTTCGCATTGGAGTGTAGCCGCTCATTTGGCTGTCATGGAGGCCAGAAACATTACACGCGTTGGAGTGTGTGATCTAATCACAGTGAAGGAGTGGCAACTGCAAAGTAGTAGGCTTGTTTGAATCCCCCTCACGTGCCCTGGGAAAGACGAGATACACAAGGGCCTCAAAGTGCCGACTTATGTCCGACGCTATAGCGAGCCTGCCAGCCTCTGTGGTAGCAGAAAGTGCGCGAGGGGTGGGCTGGTGACGGGGACAGAGGCACCCAACTCATGTCTGCTTGCAATGTCGTAGTGACGTCGAGGGCATCTTCCTCCTGTCGGGATGCTTGAGCTACCTCTGAGATGGGAAGATGGATAGTGGGTTGGGTAGCGGCGCTGGGGAGGATCTCGGCGGATGTGATGCTATCAGGACTATGAATGAACCACTTGGTGCAGCGCTCTGCTTCGCCAAACTTGTAACCAGGGTGTAAGCATGAGGAGTTGTCAAGCCCGATACAACGGGACCTGAGCTCTGCGGGTAGGCGTTTGTACGGCGCGAGTAACGTGACCGCATCGCTCACAATCCAGGCGGTAGGGTGAAGCGCGGGGGACGCAACGTTGAATGTTGTTCTTCTCAGATACAGTCTTGATTGAGGAGCACTAAAGTGCTGACGTAGGTCCGATGCTTCGCTGTGAGGACGAGATTGCACCGATTGCTATCCCAGCATGCTTCAGAATGGATTTTGTGTTATATGCTGCTTAGTATGAAGGGAGGGTTAACACGCGGTGAGCACGATATCGATTCTTCACAGATCTGACGTGCACAATGCTACCAAGCACCATCTCTGGATGAATGGAAGCATTGCACATACAGCTTATGGCCTACGTCGTGCGTAGGCGGCCTGGCCTGCATCTTCCGATGGCAAGTGTTGCACTCTGCAACAAGCTGAGCAAAGACTAGAAAGAAGGCGGGAAAGTATGTGGCAGGACATGCGTCGGGGCTTCGCATCGCGATCGCATTGGGTACAGTTCATGGGAATACCCATCGATAATGGTCACAGACCACGCGAGCAAGTTCAAACTTGACAAAAAGAGTATCTCTCTTAGCATGAAACAAGACTAAATACCTGAATAAGTTCAACTTGAACACGTCCATCACCGCATCTTTCGGGACCGGTACCAAAGACAGGCTTCGGGGACGACTTTGACCCTCAATGGCGCATCATGTCCGTGTTCGTCCACTTTGCTGCGTAAATGCGATCACCGCTTCGTGGAGTACAGGCGTCTGGGGGTCAGTTTCCGCGCTGCACGTGCAGATGCAACTCTCTACCTGAAGATGGCGGGCTGGGCACTCCCTGTCACTGCGGAGATGGTTACACGACAACCTCATCCACCACGATGTTCCAGGGTCGAAATGCGGCCTCCCGCTCTCTCCTTGCGCGGACGTCCCGTTGCAAATGGGGCGCGATAGCCGGGAACGTCATGCTCGAGCTTCGGTGCGGTCGGCGTGGAGTGTGACGCTCACTAGTCATTCCAACGACCGGGTAGCAGAAACCCAAGCGCGTTGCAACGCTGTGTTAGTCGCCCTGGCGCGAAGGCGAAGGATTTGGCACTCGGCCAGGGAACTCCCCGGGTTCCCGCGGCCCGCCCTCGCTTACCTGCGACTAGAGCTATCTTGGTCTAGTCAGCGCCTAACCAGCAGGTCAGAGCGTTACCAAACACGGTCCTGGATCCTGCTGCTGCCGCCGCCTCTCCAACTTTGCTGTGCTACCCGTCTGTCAGCCCCCAACTGAGCCATGCGGAGATAAGAAGCGTGGCTGTGCATAGACCATCTCAAACGCGTGTGAACGTGGCGCGGGGTACCTTTGCTTCCCAGTCTGGACTCGAGGTAGGTCGCTCATTCCAGGTCCAACGCTTCAGACGATTGGCTCTCGGAGTCATCGCTACACCCGACGATCCATCTAGCCTGTGGGAAGGGCGTTGGGTTTCTGGTGACCTCCAAGGACTTGGATGCTGTGCGACTTCCAATCCCTCCCAGCGCAACCTCCACGATGGCGAGTCCAGTGTCATGCGCACGCTGGCGCGTTCGCTGGTGGCGGTCCAAGCCTGATATATCTTACCACAAAGTTCGTAATCTCCAGAGTCTACTGCCTCTTAATGTCGCTATAGGCGAGTATGTCCATTCATGAAGATTAGCGAAAGCTAGAGATCTTACCCTCCACCCTTTTGAACCGAACAATGTCCAACGCTAATAGTATCTGGTCTTTCGTTGCATTTCGAAGCTAGGACGAAACAGTAAGAGCATAGCCTAAAGTAACCATGTTAGCGCCTTTTTCCATGCTGTGCCCAGGAACTGTTGCAACATCTGCCAATCGCACATAGTTTCCAAGCAGTACGTCAAGCACTGCATATTGCCCTCGCCGTCCCCTTGCCCATAGTTGTTGCATTGTACTTCTATCGACAGGCTATCGTAATCAATTGTAATTCTAGGTCCGCCTACATTGCGAGGACATAGAAGGATAAGCGGTTAATGTATAAGCACACGCTAACCCATAGCAATGTCGCGTACACCGGCGCCTTTGCCCTATCTTTGGAACCAGATGCAAACGTGCGCATAGGGATATCTCAAAGCGTAATGTTAGATAGAACCGGTGCATCAGTCTTCTACCAAGTCCGAACGTTTTCCAGGAACTTCAAAGGTCAACAAGCCTTAAGTGTAGCTCTCTTGTTGATGTTTTTACAAGTTCGTCAAAGAAATTTATAAACACATCTCGAACTGCGCACTCAACCTTACACTATTTATCTAATTGCCTGTGTTCCTAGTCTAGCTTAATCTTGCGATAGGTCT